TCAGCCTTCCGAGTAGCCGGAATTACAGGCATGCGCTACCATGCCCGGCTGATTTTTTTATTTATTGTAGAGATGAGGTCTCGCTGCCCAGGCGGGTCTTGAACCCGCGGGCTCAGGCAATCCACTCACCTCAGCCTCCCAAAGGCGCGGGATTACAGGCTGAGCCACTGAGCCCGGCTTGTTGTTGTTTTTTTAACAAAGTTTTTAAAGACTTAACAGCCTGGTAGGTAAGATATTTTAATTTGCCTTTTCCTAGTCACTGTAAAGTTATGTTGAACATCTTTTTGTAAGTCAGTTAGTTTCTTCTCCCATGAATTGACCATTCATATTTTTGTCCTTTTTAAATTTTGTTTATAGTTTTCTTATTGGTTTATAATTTTTTAACTATTCTAATATTCTTTTCAAACTCTCTCATGCTTTTTCTTTTTCATGCAAGGTTTAAAATTTGATGCAGTCAAGTGTGCCCATGTTTTCCTATATGAGTTACTATGGTAGTTTTAAAAATGGCCTCCAAATTATTTGACACTGCTCCCCTTAGGGGGTCTGTTATCTCCCCTCGAATCTAGGTTGTATGAGTCCTTGAAAATAGAATATAGCAGACATGATATTGTGCCAATTTTTGGACCTAAGCATTAAGAAACTGGCAGCTTCCACTTCCTGAAGATGTTTTTGGAATATAACCACCATCTTGTAGCTGCCTCACCCTGCAGAAAGGTCCAGGAGACAGCAACCAATAGCCAGTGTGAATGTGTCATCTATGTGAATGAGCCATCTTGGAAATGGATCCTCCAGCCCTCATCACTCCACCCCAACAGACATGGTATGGAGCAAAGACCAGCTGCCTCTGCTAAGTCCTGCCCAAATTTCAGAGTTTTGAGCAAAATAAATGATTGTTGTTGCTTAAAGCCACTAAGTTTTAGGATGATGTGTGATATACCTGGAATAGTTGTGCTTTGTGTATCTTATCTAGAAAAGCTTTTCTCCCCCTGAGGTCAAAAGGGGTTTTTCCCCTTATTTTTGTATCATATTTTCAAAGCTTGATTATTCTTAGTTTCTATAACAATCTGCCACTTACTTTGATTATGATAAAATACATAAAATTTACCATTTTCATCATTTTAAAGTGAACAATTCAGTGGCATTTAGTACATTCAAAATGTTTTGCAATCATCATCACTGTTCAATTTCAGAACATATTTATTACCCTGAAAAGAAACCCTGTACACATTATACGACATATATCAGTATGGCTTGGTGTGAGGATCTAGGATCTAATCTCTTTTTTCTAGATGCATAGCCAGTTTTCCCAATAGGATGTACTGAATAGCTGTTTTTTTTCCTCCACAAATTTAAAATGCTGTCTACATCATTTGCCACGTTCCCTATATAGGTATATACTTAGGTTTGTTGCAGGACTATTTATTTTTAGTCCTCTCACTCAGGGACTTTAGAACACAAATTCATGTTTATCAATATATTACCTTGTGGTTAGGCTTTCTGCCAACGCCTCTTTAGTTGTTCTGTCTGTATAATTATATATGTATATTTTTCCCCAGTAAACTATAACAGGTCTCTAAATGTCCTTTCATGTGACTAGGTTACTAGGAATTTCCAAAATTACCCACCAGCTTAATTGAAACTTAATATGTTTTATATATTTATGTGTAAAGTAATATGTTCCTATCCAGATAATTTTATCTCATTATTATTTTAAAATGCCTCTTCATAGTAAAAGTCGTATGTTGAATTTGAAATTGTGTATTTGGAAAGATTATAACTTTAAATAGGATTATTCTTAAGTGTCCAATACATGTTTTACAACAAACTGACACACTGACCCAAGCCAGTGTGGTCATGCCCTACTCCTAGGTAGCGTCCAAAGAAAGTTGAAAGACTAGCTGCTTCTTATAGCCTCATTATTAAGTTCTTTTTTTTTTTTTTTTTTTTTTTGAGTTGGAGTCTCACTCTGTCGCCCAGATGGAGTGCAGTGGCCGCTCCTGGCCACCGCAGCCTCCACCTCCTGAGCTCTGGCGATCCTTCCGCCTCAGCCTTCCAAGTAGCTGGAACTACAGGCGCGCGCTACCATGCCCAGCTAATTTTTTGATTTATTGTAGAGATGAAGTCTCGCCAGGTTGCCCGGGTGGGTCTTGAGCCCACAGACTCAGGAAATCCACTCACCTCAGCCTCCCAAAGCATAGGATTACAGGCTGTGCCACCGAGCCCGGCTCTCATTATTAAGTTCTAATGAAAGCAGACCTCAGACCAAATTCTGCTGCAATTTTAGTCACACACATATATAGAAATATATTAGCTAAATATTAATAAGCAAGTACAGGCAGCTTTTGTAATCTGAGAAAACCCATCTTTCAGCTCTTAGGCTCTGACCAACACCTTGCAGTAAACAGGTCACTTAAGGGAGAATTCTGCTTTCTTCATGGCCAGTATTAGGCAAACAGAATCCTTCACATTTCACAGCAGGATATCGGAATGTCTAATTTAAAGGAAGGCATTATCCATGAGGAAGAAGCATCCATGCTATAGTGGATGACAGAATGATGGGCATGGAGGGGCAGTCTTTTTAGCTATCCTGTAATTCTTAAATACTTTTTATTTAATAAATGATACCTCATTTTTAATATG